AACTTTGCCCACAGAGAAGCTCAATAAACAGACTGTTTACCCTCTTGTGATATAAGAGCATTTCACCTAATATATTTTTCTCTGCAAATAGAAATCATTTAAATGATGTTTTGGCAGTCATTAATACTGGCCACTCTTCCACTCCCAAAGTAGTACAGTTTTCATTACGGATCAAATTATGATGCTCCCTTTTGTATTTAGGTACAAACCTCGGCCTTTCACTAAATACGGGATCAGGCAAGTGAACGTTCCATGTATAGTAAGTACGTGGAAGTCGTGGTAGAGACTCCCCCCCACTTCCTCTCCTTAAAATGTTCTCTTCCCCTCCTCTCTCTTCCTCCCACATCTCCGAGGAGATGCGAACCACCCAAGCTACAAATAAAGACATCCTTGATGCCATAAAACTGTGCCTCTCCTGCAGCTCTTCCCTAAATTGTCCCTCACACTCAAGTGCCCCGCCGCTGCCGCCGCTGCAGCTGCCTTCAGCACTCCACAAATACACACAGGTTCTTTCCCCCTGAAAATAGCTTTCATTCAAACCTGCACTTCCTTCAAGCCAAGAGCCTATTTCTCACCTTCTTATGTTTGCAAAGAGTAGTTTCTCAGTGCTACCTTGACTTCCTTAGAACTCCCTCCACTAAAGACATTGTTGTTTCTACCCTCAACTGTTCCACGTGACCTCAGATCCACCCAGGCAACAGAAGCAGCTTCTTCTGGTGTCAAAGGCTAACGTCAAAATTAATGCCCTTTTCTCAGTACTCATCCTCCCTGACAATCTCCGATTTGACACTACTCACCCTCCTCCCCCGTATGTGTCCTTCATACTGTCACAAACTGCCTAAAACAAAGAGGTGATCCATACAGAACGCGTAAAGGATGGACAGCACTAAACTTTCCTGATTCTCTCCAATACCCTTTTATAAGCTACACCAACCCTTTCACTTTTCAGTTCGTCACTACAAATTTCTTTCAACTCTTTTCACACACACACATATTGTTACCCTTAAAGACATCATCCCCTCTGCCCTTATCATAAAGGATCACCGCAGAAGCCTGCATTCCACCCTAACCTCCAACAAGTGCCATGGAACAACTTCCCCCACCCCGGGGATACCTTCAGACTTAAGTTATACAGTGTCTTCAGCCACTTCCCACTGCAAAATAATAGCTATTCCACTGAAAATAGAGTAATTTCCTACGTCCTTGAAGAGTTTCACCACTTTCCAAATCACCAAGTTTGCAATCTAAGAAATCAAATTAAAAAAAGCAGCTGGAAGTCATAAAACCTGTGATCTAGCCCAGGCTTTGTCACTAATCATCTGTGTGACTTCAAGGGAGTTAATTAATCCTTGGATTCCATTTCTTTATTTGAAAAACTAGAGACTGGACTAAAATCTTTACAGCTTTCTACCCTCCACAGGTACACATTCTTTCCCCACCTCCTTTTTCTCTCTTTGTACACACACACACACTCCAGAAATTCAGGATTTCTATGACTTTTTATCTTAACTGTCAAACCTCCATATCTTAAGTCATCTAGACTTGACATTTTTTTATTTCTCAATTTCTCAAAACTGTGCTTCTTCCATTTCTGCTGCTGCTACTTGGTTCATATTTGTATTTGTTCAGGCACAGCATGTGAACCGCCTTTTGGTATTCCTGCTTTCTTGCCCCCATACTATTTAGCCCACATACTGCAATGAAATTAGACTCATTAAAACTTCTTTGTAATGTCACTCCATAGTTTGAAATATTCAGTGTTTCCCCTTATCCTTCGGATTAAGTACATCCTTCTTAATCTTGTATTAAAGATCTCTGACAATCTGACCTCTACCTACTTTCCCAATTTAATCTCCCATATTACCTGTTTCAAACCAAAAAGGTGTCCTTCCCACAGTCTTGAAACCACCAAGCTGTCCTGAGCCCATGACACCACCTAGTGGCGGAGGCTCTAAACTTGCAGCATCGCCGCCTTTCTCTTCGAAAAGACAACGCAAACATGGCAATTTTATTTTTTCCTGCCCTTTACTCATCACACACAGTTTCGTTATTTCCACCTTTCTCTTCAACATTTCTTTCTTTCCTCTCTTCTTAACCTCCATAAAAGTTATCTTCTCTATCTTTATAAGCCAAGGTGAGCCCAGGTCATAGATTTTCTGTTTTCCCTACGCAAAGAAAAAAAGGCAAGCCATAAGAAACGTGAAAGAAGGATTAAAGAAACACTGATGATAAACCAACCAACCCTTTTCCGAAAGATAACATTGTGTGCTCAGGTCTTTTTTCTCACCATTCATCAAACCACAAATCAAGTCACAACACCAAGGGTTTCTACAACTTGCTTTACGTGTATTTCCTCTCCGTGAATCACTGCCTCCTGATTCACTCTTCCCCCAGACCTCACCCTATCCTAATATCCACCTAGCTCACTGAGGTGCTATGATGAACTACCCTGACCCAGATGGGTCTCTCTTACCACACTGGAGATAACTGTTTATTTGTCCTTCTCCCCTGCTGGACTGTAAGCTTCTTGAGAGCAGGAACCCTGCTTTGTTCACCACTGTTTATTGCATCTGACCCAGTGTTTAGCACAGAGGAGATCCACAGTTGTTGGGTGCATGAAGGGACAGATAGATGAGGATTAGCAATGGAGAACGGAAGGCAGGACTGATGGGTGGGAGGGGGTGGGGGATAAGGAGGGATAACATGGGAAAACAATACATCCACCGTTGTAAACTTAACAAAAAATCCAGGCGCAACCACTAGGCCAGTAACAACACTGCCGATGGGTGCTCTGCAGAAGGCTCTAATTTCCAGCAGCTCAAAAAGAGGTCATCAACCACCTCAAAATACTTCCAAAGTGGCTACAGGCGATGCCAGATCAGCGTCCCTACTACAGTGCTTACTATGAAGCATTATGCTTGAATATTCTACGAAGATAAGAATTAAATAATTACCGATTTTCCTAAGTGGTCTATAGAAGACATTTAATTATAGATTTATCTCCACATAAATAATAAACCTTTGGAATTAAGCAAGAATTTTGGCAATATATTTAAATTTGGGACTTAAGGAAAAGAAAGATCATTTTTTAAAAAAACTTTATTATGTGAAATATACAGATTCCTCATCTGACTGAATACATTTTTGAAATAAAAAGTTCCTCCCAGACCTCAGGAGAGAAAAAAATGCAACTTTCTGATCTTGGTTAAATGAATTGCCTGCATCGCTCATTTCAAAAACTCCTTACCAGTGCCTAAGGACAAACTAACACTTGCAAATTAAACAATTAGGTGAGACAAAAAGACACAGTTTGGCTTCATCAACTATATAATTTGGTCAAAAGAAAGCTTACCTGCTGCAGTTTCCCACTCATAAAGATTAAACAGACACCTGGCCTTATGGTTTCCTGCTATTAAATCAAATCCTTTAGGCCACAAATTAGGCCATGGAGACAACATTTAATGCAACAATAATGCATTGAATTTGATTTAGTTTACTGAGTCTATGTAAAATCTGCAAAACTTGGGTGGAAAACAGGTGGCAGTAGACTTGTTAAAGGAGTTAAAATAATCTGTAACATCCCTTTCACTTCTAGCGTTCAAAGAAATGACTACTTCGGAGACAACTTGAGAGCTAAGTCTAAAGACATACACTAGGAAGGCATGGGATCAGGGGGAGGAAAACAGTAGTAGTTTGCATATAATTTTTAGATTCCTCTTTTGGCACCTAACCATAACATGGATTTAAATGGTCTACTAACATGGTGCAAAACCACTAGGTGTACTTCTAGTGACTAATTAGAAGATACAAATGAACAGATATGCAGGTGACCTGAAAGATTTTTATGAAGTCCTCTAAGAATTTCACTTCCTTTCAGAGTGACAAAGAATTTAGTTCATTTAAGATATTCATTTTTCAAGTAATGGGTACACAAATGCACACTTTATTCAAATCAAACCCTACTATGAACGTGTTAAATGCCATGTTTGACATAACTGAGTTATATTCATCGTTGTTTTAAAAAATTATGTAATGTTTTAAGCACTTTTACACCCATCTTAAAGCTTAAGTATATAGAAAAGAAAGGGGGATAATAATTCCACTTGTGGAACCAGAGAGCTGTCCTAAAACACAAAGCCAAACATCAGAATTAACCTATATACCTGGAGAAACACACTCTATGAGTAACTGCAGTAACTCGATGTGCTGGATAACCACAACGCTAAGAGTAATATGAAAAAAACATCACCATCACCTAATTTTAACACGTGCAGCTATCTTAAACTATTGAAACCTATCTCTGAATGTATGACGCCTCAAGAATCTGCTTTTGTGAAAGATACATAAATAACTGAAGATCATTTGCCTTTTAAATCTTTTCCGATTTCAGTCACTGTAAATAGGAGTTGCTTAACAAAAGCTATTTAATGAAATCATAGTTCAGACACATTAAGGAAAAAAAAAACCTCTAATTGCACAGAAAATATTTATGAGTTTACTTTCCTAACGCATACAATTGCGTCCTTGTTTTCAAAGTCCCGCAATTCACATCAGTGGGAACAAAAAAATTCTTAGAGACAACAGAAAGTTAACTTCCTAGAGGAAAGCACTTAGAGAAAGAAAAAGCACTGAAGAACCAGAATCTCTTAAAAAAAAAAAGATCTTAGAAGTTTCTCTTCCAAAAAAGAAACAAACGGATAGCACAGTTGCAAGTGTTTAGCCCCGATATTTATCACTCACCTATGCTTAACTACATTCAACCAGTTACAACTCAAACCTCAGGACAGCACTCCTTCAGGGTACAAAACATCTAAAAGAACTCGGTGACTCCATTTCAAAGATCCCATCCCTTAGCAGCTGGCCTCTCCTTTCATCACACCAACGCTGTGAATATCTCACAAATCGCAAGAAATTAGCCGCGGAGCGAGATCAGATAAGTCTTTAACAGGCACGCGTGTTACCGGAGAGAAGAAAGTGGAACGCGCGTGTGAAGTTTCCGAGCTCCGGGCGAGGCGGAAGTTCTCGCCCAGAGGCCGCCGGGAACCCCGCGCCGCGGCTGCCGCTTTGATTTCCAGCAATGGCTCCGGGGCCAGAGCCGGTGCAGCCGGGGCCGCTGCCAGCTCGCAGCAGCAGTCGGGTAGGTAATTACCATTCGGGTCACGTCGCGTCTTAACCGCTCCCGCCCATCCGCCTCCGCCCACCCACCCGAATCCAGGGCCTGCCCTGAACTTTCCAAGTGGGCAGGGGCCTCGGCACCACCACCGTCCGGCGGGTCTCTTTCTTTCCATCCCGTCCCCAGAGCGCCGGGGGGCGCTCGGTCCTGGGCTGGACAGTGAGGGGCAAGCTCCCAACGAGCCGGAAGCCCGCCACCCGGCAGCAGCAAGTTGCTCGTCCCGCGGACACATACGGCTTCGGCCCGGCCGCGCAATGGTACCGAGTGCGCCGCTGCGCCCCTCGCCCACCGCCCTCAAGCCCCAACTGGTTTCCTTCAAACTTACAGCAAAGTTAGCCCGAAGCGGCGGCGGCGGCGGCGGCGGCGCTTTCGGGGGCGCGCACCTCGCCGCCTCAGCGCGCCCCCGAGCGGGGTCCGGGTCGGTCCGGGGCCTCACTGGCTCCGCAGGGCCGCATGGTATCTGCGGCCCGCCCTCGCTTTCCTTGCGCCCCGCTCTGAGGCAGAGCCCCGCTACCCGCGAGCCCCACTCCGAGCCCGGCCGGTGCAACCCCGGCGTCTCACGCACCCGGCGCTTCACGCACCCGGCGCGGGATATATCCCTCCGCTCGCAGCCACGCCCGCTCGCGCCGGCGCTCTTTTCTCCCGCGCAGAAACTCGACCCGACTTTTCCTGGCAGCCGGAATCCCAGTCCGCGGGGCCGGGTTACGACGCCCCGCCAAGGGTCAGGGATCTCCCAGCAGCTACAGCAGCCAACTCCTTTCCAGGAGACCAGCGAGTGCCCAGGATGACCTAGCGACACCGCGAGGAACAGATTGGGGCTCGCTCTAGTGCCGAGGTTAGTTATGGCCAGCACACAGATTTGTGCAGGTAATTAACAGGGAATGCTCCCTACTAGGAAAGGGGGAACATTAACTTAGCTTAAAAAAAAAAAGAAAAAAAAAGAGCGAAGGACTAAAGAAAAAGCTTCCCACGCCTCCTACTTTAGATTCACGGGAACCTTCAGGGAATTCCTAAATCTGAATTTGAATGCCTTGGCTGTAGGTCTGCAATTGCTTGGTGGAATAAAATCTTCCAAAAGGTCTCAAAAGGAATGCAGTTAGATCGGAACCTACTTCCTTTTTCAATCTACAGTACACTAAAATCCCGGGAAAGTGAAAACGCTTCCTTCGCGACCTCTTTGCGCAGAGCTGGTTAGACCCCGGAACCTCTCCAGCCGTGGTTACGAACCCCAACGCCGGCCTTCGCCGGCGGACACCCCCGACTCCCAGGTCTGCGGGACAAAAGGCAGCGGTGCCGTCTCGTGCGCTTTCCCACGCGGTAAGTACACCCCGCAGGCTGTGAACGCAGTCTGACGTGAAACTACAAGTTCCGCAGGGAGAAGGGGAAACCCCGGGCGTCCAGACGGCCCATTCGGGGAACTCCCCCCACACCGGAGCGCGCAGTCCGGGCATCGCGGGGCTGTGAGCCGGTCCTCAGCGCGGGCAGAGCTCCAGGCGCCGGCTCAGCGCAGCCCGGAGTGCTCCCGGGCGCTGGCAAACAGCCGGGAGAAGAGGGCGGCCTTGACCTCGGAAAGTTTGTGCAGCTCGAATACGTTAACGCTGTGAGGACAAAGAGAGATGATTTCCCTGGAACCGGTGGAGGGGGTTGCTGGAAGAACTACGAGGCAAATGGGGGTAAGGGAGTCTAGGGTTAAGGAGAGAATTTCTCTATTTCAAAGTTAATGCAGTCTCCTCTTATGCCATCTCAAAGAAGGTGATGGGGGGGAATGTGTCTAGAAGGTCATGGCTGGGAAGGAAAAATAATGCCTGCAGAATGAGTGTGCTGATTCGTAGCACTAAGAGTATGTGGTGTATTCCCTGCGCGTTATTTAGAATACACAGAAATTCACACACCCAGCAAACATCATCATTTAAACACTTGGCCACGGCAAAGCGCTCCTGGAGTTACAGGTCAGTTTCATACATGGAACACCTCGAAAGTAGGTTACCTGGTCTCCAAGCTCAACTCGTTTGTGCCCGTTTTCGAATTCTAACTCTAAACAAAACACAATCACACACGAACGCCAACAGTTTGTTGGGGCGGGATGCGGGGGGCGGGGGAGGAGAAGAACAGTAAAAGGTAAAAAGACACCATCCCATAACGTAAAATCACAAGATTTTTAAAATGACACAAAAGAATTCCTGGAGAAAATTACCATTCACTAATAACTAATAACCCTTACTTGGACTAAAACATCTGTTTGGGAATCCCGGTTTGCCAGGTCCACTGAAAACCTAATTGCCTGAAAAAAGTTGCACTTCGTCGCCAGAGGAACAGCCGAGAGCCAGAGATCGAGATTTCAGAGTCCGGTGCTGCCACGTTTTTACTGATCCTTTAGCCCCAACGGAACGAAACAGAGGTGCCTTTTTGCTACCAGCTAATTACCTTCACATGAACAAGAAATGTAGTACAAGCTCCACGTTTGTCCTCTCAATAGTCGATCCTCCCTAACCCAGTACCCAAAGGCTCTAGAAAATGAGGGGGATGGGTTCCCGAAAACAAAAAAAGCTTTCCGCCAGCACTGCCTCTGCATCCAGTCCACCCAAGCTGGTATTTGTATATTAGCTATAGAATGGGCCGGAGTGGGTGGTAAGTGAAGGCTAGGGTGACGGCGACGGACCTCACGTCCACGTCCCAAGAGCGCCCGGCAGGTCCAAGTTCGCGGTCCGTGCGGAGAGCGCGCGCTTTGCCGGGTGCCCGGACTAGAGGGCGCTGCGCCACTGCAGATCACGCGGCACCCAATGCGCCCTCCCTGGGCACCATTTCTATAATAAGTTACATTTGAAATAATGCACAAACAGCATAGCTTTTCAAGTTCTTTTGAACAGTGCTTTGTAAGTATTTTATGAATTCCAAAACCTATGCATACTGATCTTTCATTCCCGAGTCAAGCACAGCCAGGGCGGGTGTGCAGCTCGCCGAGCGGAAAGCCGGTAGGATGCACACGCTTCCCTGTACTAGTCAAACACCCCACGCAATTTCATTAACGTTTAAACTTAAATACGGAAAGACTTGCACTCAAGAAAGAACTCACCCGTCCAGCCGAGTCCTCGGTGTTCTGCTTTAAAGTCCCGGCAGGTCCGTAATCGCCACGCGATTTGGATATTTGTTACAAGCCGTGTATGAAGTACCAACTTCGCTTCCCTCGGATCTTCAGCATGTCGCCAACGAGAGTGCGATCCGCCCGCGCCGCCCAGGTGGCCGCATCTCCGGAGGCTTCCGTCCTGGGGGAAACTTGAGCAGCAAAAGGAGGCGAAATGAGAGTGCGCGAGGGCTAGAGAGAGGGCCGAAGAGAAACCAAGTTTGTCAGGACATGTCCGGGCAGCGATACGCCGAGTTTAGGAGTTGCGGCCGTGAGCTGTGGCGGATCACTGCCTCTTTCCCCACTCCCTCCCGCCTGGAGGAGGTGGGGGAGGGGAGGTGACGTCAGCGCCCCGCCTAGCCCCCAGCCCCGCCGCCTGGACGGGATTCTCCCGCGGGGTCCGCCTCCTGGACAGTAGCGGCCGCGAGCTCGGAAGCTCGGCCGGCTCTCCTGCCGCAGTGGTCTCTGCGGCCGCTGCGGTCCCGACAGTGAAGCGTCTGCCCCTCTCCACCCCGCCGCGTCTCCCGGGCTCCGCCAAGCGCCGGCGTTCCTCGCACTCGGCGCCGGGGCGGCCCCGCGGCGCGCACCTCTCCGGCTGGCTTTCTCGCAAGCCCCCCTCCGGCCGCGTTTCCCACGCCTCGAACTGCAGGTGATGCTCTTCCTCTTCTGCAGCTGAAATTCGTCGCGACGTGTCGCCTGCCGGGTTGTTGCAGGGCGGAAGCACGAACAGTCTCTGCGGACTAGCCTGGACGACTTGTACTTTGTAGCCCTCCAACTTTAGGATGTGATCTATTTTAAATACTTCTCGTGCTCTAGCGCTGTTTGCGGTCTTTGTGTTGAAAATCACGGAGCCATATTTTAATGTTCAAATCCTCTCCAAAAGCGCCTACGTTTTTAGACCGTACTCTGAAGCGTACAAGGATCCAAGGGGTGGAGGGAGAGGTGGAGGAGGAGCCAGTTTCTAATGTTTCCTACAAGTCATCCGTAGTGATGGGGGCCAGTACACAAATCAGTCGGCTACTCGTGCTGTAGACTAAGACAGATGCAAACGCTGTTGAAGTGGAATTTGTAAGTGAATACGTCCTTTCTACGTAAGCGTCCGGACTCCAGGAAAAAATCTGCTGTGGAATATATATATATTTTTAACGCCGCTAAAATACCAAAATAAAATCTCCTCAACAGCGTGAAATTCCCAGGGAGCCATTTCTGTGAGTTGACACTGTCCCCAGAAGGTTAGCATTAAAATTCCCTGGAAAAGGGCAGGGGGCTGGAGCGGGTTCTGTTAATACCTTTGCAGCCGTTGATGTAAATCTAGCGGTCAGTTTAGCTGGCTGTTATCTCTGGAAGGCAAAGAGCAAAACCCCTAGGACACAGGAAACATGGCAAGGAGTTAAACAGTTAAGAGAAAAGAAGATTGTGTTGGAGCATTGGATGTGCTTAGCCTTAAGGAAGTCATATAACTTCTCTAAATTTCAGTTTCCTCGTCTGTTTCACCTTGTAAAAATGTGTGTGTATTTCCATTCAAAAATATTTATTTGCCAGGGAGGCAATGCTCAAGGAGACACTTTTCCCCAGCATCATATACAGTGTCTAGTAAGCACATAGGAGTTCATCAATAGTCCTTGTCTTACCCTCCCTGGTTCTTTGCAGTGTCTGTTTTCTCATCTATACAATTAGGAAGAGTTACAAGGAGGTTATCCCAAATAATTTTGTTATGGAAAGGAGAGGAGGGCACCCAGAAGGTGCCAGATTCCTGAGGGAGGAGGAAATAAAAGGACAGACTGACTTGAAAGGCCAGCCTGTTAGTGCAGAGGACAGACCTCTCATGCTTCACTATTTCATCTACACAGGCTCGCTCCTTTTATGTCAATAGTTGAAATTAGAAATTGACTGCAGATTGTAAGTTTTTTATAAATAATACACATAAGTTCCCCCAGATGCTGCCGTGCAAGTCAGTCTGGTTTGCTGTACTCACCTTTAGCGTTATCATAGGTAAGTCAAATTATTTCCAATAGAAAAAGAAAAAAATACAAACAAGAGGAACTTACATATAATAATTGATGGTATTAATAGAAATAGCTGCTTTAAAAAAAAACAAAGTGAAAGGGGCAGAAAATTTTTAATAAAACCTCTAGACCTGCACCGTCCAATACCATAGGTAGCCACTAGCCACAAGTGGCTAAGTAAATTAAAAGCCAGTTCCTTGGTCTCACTAGCTACATTTGAAGTACTCGGTATCCACTTGTGACTAGTGGCTGCTATATTGTTCAGGGCCGATGAAAGAACATTTTTATCATGACAGAGTTCTGTAGGACAATGCTGTTACAGACTTTGCTATTGTTTTTGGAAGGCTACATCAAGCATTATATTACAATTTCCATGCATCCAACACTGAGTCAATTCCAAAGTTAAAAAAAAAAAAACAGAATCACAGAAGGATTCACTCATTTCACAAATATTTATCAAGTACCAACAACAATATGCTAAGTGAAACTATAAAGGACTCAAAATTTAATGAGTTAGGTGTGTTTGGTGATTAAGAAATATTAACATGGCTTAACATGGCCTTTCCGTTGTTTTCAATCATTGCTGACTACGAAAACCAGGGGGAATCACTCAATTTAAAGCAGAAGAGATTTCTAAAACATTTTTAAGAATAGTCCTCGGACTAAATAATTCTAAGTAGGCTGACTGACTTCTGTCATCCCACCCTCTCTGTTCCTTTTAACTGCTTTCTCATCTCCTACATCCCCTTTTCCCCTACACTTCCTGAAGATGAGGCACTGTTCAGCTGTCTCCACTTCTCCATACTTTGGAATTATTTTATCCTTTGCATTTAAATACAGCTCTCCTTTGGGATTGCTTGTACTCACCAAGAGAGCCATTAGAACAGACAACTAGTCAATCTGGTAAGAATCAGTAGTTGTTAACTATGGGTATGAATATGTTCATTTCCCTGGTCCCTTCCAAGTGCATTGTAACAAGGGCTTTCTTAAGGCTAAACCTTAATCATAAAATTTTATTCTAATGGTGAAATTTCAGATGCCAGTGCCAATCGGGAAAATATTTGGAGGCATTACGCGGAATGGCTAACTACTAAAAAAATAAATAAATAAAAAATAAAGTTTACCTTCATTTCTGGCATACATACATAGTGAAAAAGGCTGGTTTGGACCTTCTCTCCCTACAAATGTAACATCAACATCCCCATGTGGTTTGGAAACAGATTCTGCTGGATAAGTATCATGCTTGTGATGCTTTCCCAGCTCGGGGATTGAAGGATTCCACGTCTACCTTTCTGAGCAGTAAGCGATGAATCATGCAGAATCTGTTGAAATACTTTTTCAATAAAGGCAGTAAAAAGAACATTAGACTCAAGGTCAATAAATCTGGTTTGACTCTTTGCCACATAAAATCTAATGTACTTGGTTATTACTGAATTTTGGGAGTCTCACTTTCCTTTATAAACGTGCATTTCTAAAGTGATCTCAAACAAACAAGCAAACAAACTGCCTCACCTGTTGTGAGAGATATAGTAAAGAATGAAGATAACAAATACAGTATCATTGTTCTCCTCAAATTTACTCACTATTTCTCACCCTACCACTCCCTCTCAGTTATGAGGCTTTGTAGAACCAATAGTAATAAATAACATGGGTTTAATGCCAATTATAACCTAGCCTCGGTTCCAACTTCTTTATATGCATCATCTCATGGATTTCTTACTAAATTCTACAGGGTATTAGCAATTATACCCTACCTCCATGTTCTAGATGAAACAGTGAGGTTGAGGTAGATTAGATAACTCATGTTGGGTCACATTTTGGACTGAAACTCAGGGCTGACTGTCTTCATAGCCAACATGCTTGTCAATATAATACACCAGCTCCTTATACCCTACACCTCATTTGCACCCTTTATGAACCAAGGCCTTTGTCAGCAGTATTGTGGTTTAAGAAGCAACCTAAGAGGAGTAGGGTATCAAAAACTATCAAATGATGGCTGGAGAAAGATGGTCCTTTCTAGCAGCTTCACCAAATATGGATAAAAAATTGTTTAAAAGTGGGTCCTTTAATCACAGAGGGAGAACACCACTGATTGTGTCTTGTAATAGATATGTAATACATTCATTACTTGTTTGGCTTACCTATTTTCCTAGGTAGATATGCGTACTCCGAAACACATTTCTTTTCAATTTGAAATCATTGTCTGACTTTTAACTTGTTTAGTCTGAACAGCAGAAAAATACACACCAATGATTCTCACTGTATTCTGACAAGGGCTATCTCATAGGATTTCATGATCAGCATTTCAATTTATACTCTGTTTCCTTTTCCTGGTCTGGAACCACTAGGGTTGCTTTATCTCTCCAGTTCTCCTTTCTCTCTTTAATTTATACTTTTCCATATGACAAGATGGGAAATTCCCTCTATCTATACTTTTTTTACTGTTAAGATACTATCCCTTTTCCTGGTAGAATTTTTTTGGTCATAAAGACTAATCTGATATAGAGTCTAAGAGGACCCCATTCGGGAAACAAGAATTATGATAGTCCCCCAGCCTCCTTTCTCTAACAGATGATCTATTTAAGCCCATCATGGTAGTTCTGTACCCATTTGTCATGAACATGTGGGCCAATTGTAGCCAATGAGATATTAGAGGATGTTTACTGGAGGCCTCTGGAAAAAAATTTCCTGCCTCCTAAGGAAGATCCACAAGAGACATTATGTCTCCCTATGGACACTGTCAGGTCAGGAGGTCATGCCTGGGACTGCTACCACCATCTTACTTGCGGAGGATGAGGCCTAAACCTGGGAAGGCAGGTGAGGGTTCTCAATGAGGTTGAATCAACTATCTCTGAAGGCCATCCCAACTCAACCCTTCTTTTAATGGGAGAGCATAAGTTTTCATCTTACTTAAGCTGGATCGTGTCAGGATTTGGCTTATTTGTACCTGACATCATCTCCCACAGCTAGGTAATCCTTCTTTAAATGTACAAGGAATTATTTGAAAGAAAAGATAAATGGATGTACCTCCTCAACTTATTGGTCAATAGGAATTGAGATTGACTCTACTGACAAAATGGAAGGACTCTTGGAGTTTTCCTTTAATGGTGAAAAAGAAGTTTTTAGATGCAAAATGATTCAGTCTTGCAAACTGCCCATTTGTCTACCATAATGAAGACAAAAATAAAAATTTGAAATTTTATCTGTTCAACTAAAAGATTCTTCTTCATTCCTACTGTTCTTTCCTCTCCAGTGTCCAAAAATATTTCTAGATATTGAAACTTAAAATCTTTTGCACAGCAAAGGAAAACATAAGCAAGATGAAAAGGCAACCCTCAGAATGGGAAAAAATATTTGCAAATGAAGCAACTGACAGAGGATTAATCTCCAAAATTTACAACCGGCTCATGCAGCTCAATATCAAAAAAAACAAACAACCCAATGCAAAAATGGGCAGAAGACCTAAATAGACATTTCTCCAAAGAAGGTATACAGATTGCCAACAAACACTTTAAAGGATGCTCAACATCACTAATCATTAGAGAAATGCAGATCAAAACTACAATGAGGTATCACCTCACAACAGTCAGAATGGCCATCATCAAAAAATCTACAAACAATAAATGCTGCAGATGGTGTGGAGAAAAGGGAGCCCTCTTGCACTGTTGGTAGGAATGTAAATTGATACAGCCACCATGGAGAACAATATGGATGTTCCTTAAAAAACTAAAAATAGAACTACCATACGACCCAGCAATCCCACTACTCGGCACATACCCTGAGAAAACCGTAATTCAAAAAGAGTCATGT